GTGTCGTAACTCGGACCTCATCAATCAAGTCTAATTCTGCAGCCAATGCTTCATTATTGTCTTCTTTTTCATAAAGAGCTTTAATCTTTCTCCAAGATAGTTCTCCTAACTCAACTAGGATCATTGCTTCATATCCATAAACCAATCTAAATGGGGTTTCCGCCGTTGATATTTGGGTCGTTGTCCTATATCCCCAAAGGACATAGTATAACTCTTCAACACATTTTCCTTTGGTGGCATTCTCCAGTCGTTTATGTAACCTATCAAAAATTATTTTGTTAGCCGCTTCAACTTGGCCATTTGATTGAGCGTGCTCAACTGACGCAAAGTGATGTCGGATGTGAAGGTCGGTCGTCAGCTCTTGAAAACTTTTGTTTGCAAATTGAGTTCCATTGTCTGTGACAATCTCGGCTGGGATACCAAATCTACAGATGAGTTTCCTTTCAAAAATTCTCCATATCCGAGCCGAGGTGATAGTAGCCACTGGATCGGCTTCTATCCATTTTGTGAAATAATCAACAGCTATAATTAACTATCGTAACTGCCCTTCAGATGTCGGTAATGGATCTAGAAAATCCATCCCTCATTTAAAGAATGGCCAAGGAGCTGTGATAATGCTTAACTCTTCTGGGGGAGCTAAGAGATTTCTTTCGTGCTTTTGACATTGATCACATTTCCTGACATGCTCATTTGCATCTCCATCCATCGACGGCCAGTAATATCCAGCCCGGAGGGATTTCCGGGCTAAAGCCTTAGCTCCCATGTGTTGGCCATTGACTCCTTCGTGAATCTCAGACAAAACATATTCAGCTTCATACGAGTTTGGACATTTCAACAAGGGTGAATGTAATCTTTTCCTATAGAGTCGACCTTCGATCACGGTAAATGCAGTTGCATGTCAGATTAATTTCCTGCTTTTATTTCTTTCTAGAGGTAGTATGCCCTTTTCTAAATAAGCCACGATTGGTGATCTCCAATCTTCCACAATCGTGATCATAATTATGCAAGTCGGCTCTAGAATATTTTATTCTATTATTGTTCTGTGGTTTCCCAAATTTATCGTGCTTGCTAACTTTGATAAGATGTCAACTCTTCTATTTTTGCTTTTAGGAATATGGCTGACCTCTGCTTCTTGAAATTCAGCCATCAACTGCTTGATTGTATTCAAGTATTTTGCCATCATGGCCCCTTTGTTTGATAACTACCACAAACCTGCGATGTGACTAGCTGGGAATCACTGAAAACTTTAATTTTCTTTGTTCCCGGCTCTTTTGCTTGTTGGAGCCTAGCAATGAAAGCCTCGTATTCGGCTTGATTGTTGGAGGTTGGGAAGTTCAGGTGAAGAGAATGCTCCACTGATACCCCTTCTAGGCTTTCAATAATGACCTCGGCTCCACATCCATTTGTATTGGATGAGCCATCAACATAAATCTTCCAAACATTTTGAGATGATAGTCTCCTTCATGAGCCAAGGTGAGCTCCATAACAAAATCAGCTAGGGCTTGAGATTTGATGGTCTTTCTTGCTTCGTACACAATGTCGAATTCAGACAATTCAATTGCTCAATTCATCATTCTTCCTGTCAAATCTGGCTTGTGGAGCACCTGCCGAATGGGTTGATTTTTTCTCACTTTAATTATATGCCCTTGGAAGTATGGCCGAAGTCTCCTTGCTGAAATGAGCAGAGCAAACGCTACCTTTTCCAATTTCTGATATCTTAATTCAAAACCTTGGAGAGCTCTGGTCACAAAGTATATCGGCTCTTGACCACTTTCAATATTTTGGATTAAAGTCGCGCTTATTGCATCTTCTCCAACAGACAAATACAATATCAAGGTTTCTCCCAACCTTGGCTTTGACAATACAGATGGTGTGTAGCTAGGTGTTTTTTGATCTCCTCGAAGGCTGCTTTACATTCCGAGGTCCATCCATAACACACCTTTTTCTTCAACAAACTAAAGAAATGCAATGCCTTTTCAGCAAAACGCGAGAGGAATCTAGTAAGAGCAGCTAGTCGTCCTGTCAGTTGTCATATTTATTTTTTATTCATTAGAGCCTGTATTTCAATCAAGGCTTTGTACTTGTCCGGGTTTGCATCTATGCCTCTGTGGGTTTAACATAAACCCCAAGAAGAGGGAACCCCAAAGGCATATTTAGCCGTATTTAGTCTGATATTAAACTTTCAAAGTTTGCCAAAGGTCTGCTCCAGATCCTATACGTGTGCTCCGATCTCTGTTGATTTGACGATCATATCGTCAATATATACTTCAACATTTTTACCGAGTTGGTCTTCAAAAACCCGGTTCATCATCCTTTGATAAGTAGCTCATGAATTTTTTAATCCAAAGGGCATTATAGTATAACAATAATTCGCCTTTCTGAAATGGAGGCAAATTTTTCTTGATCATCCCGATATAAGGGAATTTGGTTGTATCCAGAGTTAGCATCCATAAATGACATCAACAAGAAATCGGATGAACTATCCACTAATTGATCAATATTTGGCAACAGATATGAGTCCTTTGGACATACCTTATTTAAATCGGTATAATCCGTACATACCCTCCATTTACCATTAGTTTTTTTCACCATTATCACATTGGATAACCAAGTGGTATACTCTATTTCTTTAATGAATCCAGCTTCAAGAAATTCCTTTGCATGATCTTCCAATACTTGCTGCCATTTTGTTCCAAGTTTTCTTTTCTTTTGCGCCATTGGCTTAGCACCTGGATACAAGGACAATTTGTGACAACAAAACCCTGGATCAATCCCGGGTATCTTAGATGATTTTCAAGCAAAGACATCTTTATCTTTTTAAGCATTCACTCAGTACTATCTTTGCTTCCGAGTTGAGTCCTTTGCCGACTTTAGTCGTTTGGCCAATTTCTTGTATTGCAACTTCTTCTTATTCCCTATCCAGTTCTGGCCTTGGCAGAGTTTCTTCCCTCATATCTAACTCCATCATGTTGACCACGTTCTTCTGCTGCCGAGCTTCTATTTTTGTTGCTGCTTTATCTCCATCTCTGATCCGAGTTGGAAAGCTTGACCCATCTTCTATTGTCTTTACAGACTTGAAATAATACTAATGTAATTCCCCGACAATATTTTCTCTTATAAATACCAGTTATGTCTTGGCTTCTAGAGATTAGATTCTGATCTCTTTCCACCATTACTTCATGATAATCATGCTCAGCTCTCCTACTTCTGTCGGCTTCACTATCTCGGTGGGCATTATCTCTGCGAGCGCTATGTTGGATGGGCCTATTAAAGTTATCCCTTCTGTCTTCTCTATTGAGGTGTCTATCTCGGTTGTGCCTAACCAATGCTCTTTCTTGGTCAAATCTATCATCTCAGTAAGTGCATTCTTCCCGAGCTTTATTTTCTTCACCAAAGTTTCTCCCTCCAGCGTGATTATTTCTACAACGTTCTTGGATCGGCTTATATACTCTCCTAGGAGAATTTGCCCTCCGCAAGTCACCCAGGATCCAAGTTGTTGCTCGATCTGGATTTGGGTTTCTTGCCTGCAGCAATCTTGTTACCAGATCTTGGATCCTCTAGGCATCTTCTTGTCGGATCCGGGCCTCCTCCTGCCGATGAAGCTGATTGCGCTTATCCATCTCCTCGATCCTTTGCAATAGGGGGTCGATCGCAATGTGAGCAATGCGCGGATCCTCATTTGACTCAGGTAGGACTTGCAATGCATCTGGCTGCGCTTCTCCAGCATTTGCAACTCATATTGGTGGATCTTGGTTCACCACCGAAGTTGATGTCGAATCAGAATGCACATCACTCACGTGGACAACATCATAATTAACCACCTGTTGATTATTAGGATCAGGGTCATTCGATGGTATCTCCTCTATCACTAGATCTTATGGCAGCCCAGGATGTGGCGACGGTGGCAGTTGATAATCGCTTCTCAAGCATGCCATGGTTATCATAGGAATAGAAATTTATGGTTCCCCATAGACGGCGCGAATATTTTATCGGAGTGACATAAATGTCTAAGGGCTAGTAGGTCAATCTATGATCAAATACTCTCTCTAAGTATCTATGAATTACACACTTTGAGGTAGCAGATCTGTACACAACTATAACGACGTTAGTCAAATGGGATGGTTTGTGTGTACAGTGCCAGCAAAATAATCAAAAAGAGAAATTAAGTCATACCTCTAAATTTTATCTCCTATTTATAAAATTTTACCTATGGGTATATGAATTCTAGGCCTTCTATTCATAAGCACAATTATTCTCTATAACAATCATTCTCTTTAAGTATCTATCAATTAGATACTCTGAGGTGGCAGATCTGCACACAACTATAACGACATTAGCACAATTATTCTCTTTAACAACTATCATATGATGACTCTTTGATGGGCTTTTAGATAGATAAGCCTTATGTAAGTCCATAAATGTAAATATCCTATAAAATAAATAAAACTCGAATCCTTTTCTTTTGGCACAAGGACGTATATCACTAGGTCAAATCAAGTTTCGTCTGTTAAAAAACATAATCATTTTAATAATATTATTAGCAAATATTCCATCCATTATACAAGTATTTTTAAATTTAGATAAAATGAAAAAAAAAACATTTTAAAAACATCTAAAATTAGGGGCAGGATATTCTTACACCGGTATAAGAGTTAGAAGTCTTATACTCAATCTTGACCATTGATCCACTTCTATCCAATGGCTCACATTTTTAAAAAAATTGAGCCTTTAGATATAAGTTGAATCAACAGACAGGATTGAGAGTGTAACTTACACCGGTGTAAAATGATCCTGACCCCTAAAATTATAGATGAGATATAAATAATTAGTCCAAATAAAACTACAAAAATTTAAATTACAAATAAAAAACAATTAACAAAAAAGATATGAATAACTAATTTAAAAAAAAAAAAGACATAAATAAAACATCATTCATGGAGAAAGAATTAATAAATTAAGAGATTTATTTCAGTTTAATATAGAAAACATAGTCTAGTTTAATATATAAAGATAAACTATCACACTTTCACCAAAAAAAGAAGATAAACTATCACATAAACTCATTTTCATGGACTTACTTCACAGACAATGCCCGACGAAAGTTACCAGCAACTTGAAAATGTAATATTTTAGGATATGTTTACCTACAAACTAAAGAACAGGGAATAGCAGCATATTAAAGGCTGGAAAAAGAAATTCAACCACACACATAAACCAAACATAGCCGCCAGGCCATTTACAAAGTCAACCGACCATAGAACCATTAAGATTCCTAAGCTATAAGGAATGGTAGGACAGTCAACATAAACGACTCATACGAGAATGTTGCAGAGCCAGTATACCCAGTATCCTTCTCCTTGAATTTGTCAGTCAGTCCCTGCAAATAAAACACAATTCAAATTGAGGTCTTTTACCTTTCCCATCAGGAAAATAGAAATGCATCATCAGCTTGATTTTAACATAAACCGTTTCATTTTAGCAGAATTTATGGTTCATGCTAAGAAATAAAACCAGGTTGATTATTTTTCATGAATCACATAAATGACACAATAAATTTCAAGGAAAGAAACATGTAGTGCTTTTAATCATCTTATAGAGTCAACTAACAAGATAATTGGAAGTTCAATTTCATTCTCACATTTGGCTACGGATGATAATATTAAAAAAAAAATCAATATTGTTTTCAACATTAAAATCTTGATAATAAACTAGCAAACTTTTAGAAGTTTCTAGATATAGTTGTGTACTGCAGTTCTATAAGGAGTGTCTGATACTATTGCAGTAATGCTACCGAAGCCCTGTAATCACTATAATTGTCATTTTGCTTCTTTTCTTTTCAGACGCGGTAACATACTAACATATAGGAATATAAGATATAATTTTAACTGTAGAAACTGATAAAATCCATAGATATGAGTGATTTGGTAGCTCACCTTAACAGTAAGACAACACCTGCATTAGCAAAAAGGGAAAGCGAATCAGTTTATAAATCCATTTTACACCAAAATAAATAAGGGTACCCAAAATAAATAAAAATAAATAAGGGTACACAGCGCTGGTAAAGAGAAATTTTGAATTTTATTGAAGGTTTCTACCAATTTAAATCTGACAGCTCATACTGACTTCTTTTTTCTTTCTTTTTTGATACATAGCTTATACTGACTTCAAACTACGATATATAAAAACATAACTTCTTGAAAAATTAAAAAAATGAGTGCATAAGCCTTTGTGGTTAATGTATAGATAATTTCCTTCTACCTTTTCAGTTATAATAAAATAAAACGCTGGACATTTAGGGGGAAATTTTTTTTAAAAAAAAGACACCAAGGCGAGAATCCTTTTTAATAATATAAATAAATTTTTATTCAATAAAAAAAATGTAGCAAACCCATACTCGATGAAATTGTCATATTCAATAGCCTTGCTTTTTCCACCAGTTTTGTCAAACTTGGAGACGAGCAAATCCAACACCATAGGGGAAACAGAATAACCCAGACTCATTAGAGCATCTCGCAACTCGAATGAATCGATTTTGCCACTCCTGTCCTTATCAAATCTCTCAAAAATGGACTGCAACAATGATCACTAAGTTTAAATAATATGCTCTGATAAAGAAAATATAATTTGTTAAAGTTGAGAATCAAGATCAACGATGAAAAAAAATAAACTAAAAGTAAAAAAGGAAATACCCTCCAGTTTTGAAGACTGTAAAATAGAGATGTGAACTCCTTGGGTCCTGCATTACAAAGTCCAAAATTCAAACAGTTAGGACAAGAAAAAGTCAAGTGGATGAGAACCAATAACTAAATAATACATTGGATTATGTGCATGTAAATCAAGGCAGAATAGAAGAAAAAAATCAGGGCAAAATGCTTTAAATACTCGAAATTAATTACAACAATATTGATTTATTTATTTTTTTGATACATTACAACATAGATATTTTACTAAATATCTACATGGCATCTATAATCAGTAGTCACTGGTTCAATACTTCACTTGCAACAATCTCTAACACACATAAAATGAAAATGGATTCTCTCATGTAACATCACGTCACCTGAGATGATCTCACCCGTTTATATGCAGATCAACAGTTATAAAAACAACATTAGGATACAAAATTAAAAAAATAATGTGTTGATTTGCCTATTGATGAATAAAATCATCTCAAATGAGCTCATCCGGTCACAACCAATAGAAGCAGGGCAAATAATTTACCTAAATAAATCCTTGCAAAGTTGCAATCAACATTCAACATTACAATATCAATTTTAATAAGTGGCACTCAGTATTCAGTAATTTGTCAGAAATATCGCTTAAATTAAAATAAAAAATAATAATCCTACTTTAGGTTACTCAAACAAAGTCAAAATTTTGAAATTAATTCTCCAAAACAATTGTAGCTCAACTAACACCTAAATCAAATCCCTTTTGCAACCACATGATCCAGGATATTGATTTGTCAGAACTTTGGCCTACCAATATTTATAACATTAACTATTTTACAATTTTCTTAACATGAGAATTAACAAATTAAACCAATCTAATATAATATTATTAAATTAAAATAAAAAATAAATATCACTAATGAACCAACAACTCGAAACCACGTGGACAAAACAAAACCCCGTATCCGGAGAATCCCAAGGGCGCTATGAGTAGGCGCCCACACGATACCCTCAAAAGGCAAACCCGAAATTAAATCCGCAAATGACACATAAGTCCCCACGACTAAATAAAAAGACAAACGCGCATAGAAAGATGAGTAAGGAACGAGATGTGCGCACTGAAAAAGCACACGACCTGCGTTTCACTTGTCAGAAGCAGTTAAACCAAAACGCAAATAGACTAAGTGAGAAAAACAAGGATAAAAAAAATATTAAAAGGGTAAACCAAAACGCCCCCTTAAGAAAAAAAACAAAGTGCAAAAACGTTTCCCTTGTCTTGAGCAGGTAAACCAAAACGCAAATAAACAAGGATAAAAAAAAAAATTAAAATCAAAAACGTGAAATGACAAAGGGTATCACAGTCATTCACCATGCCGGCGCAATTTAGCGCATAAAAAAAATGAGCCACGTCACTATATGCGCATTGAAAGCACGCGACACGCGTTTCCCCTGTCAGGAGCAGGTAATCCAAAACGCATAAATAAACGTGATTGACCGAGGGCATCACGGTCATTCCACAAGTCGGCGCAATTTAGTACCGTGCGCCGGAAAACCTAATCCCCCGGCGTAATTTAGTAGAAACCCAAAGCCCCCGATTCGGAATGAGAAAGAAAGAAGAATTGTTCGAGAGAGAGAGAGAGAGTACCAATCTTCTTGACGTTGGTGTTGGTGAAGTGAAACATGAGAAGGTGAACGGTTCTCAAACTGAAGCTCTGATTGTAAGAAGATAGCGCTCTCTGCATTTCCTTATCATCGATGAATCCGCTACCGTCCTGATCCGCCATCTGGAAGCACGCCACCACGTTCGGGTCAGTGCCGGGAGGGAACGCCGACGGCACCAGCGACGCGAACGGGCTCGAGTACCCCGAAGGCGGCGGCGGATATCCGCCTCCGCTTCCACCGCCGTGGGATTGTGATTCGTTCTTCGGTGGTTTGTTATAAGGTGCGGCGTAAGGAGCGGACGGCTGCTGGCCGTAGGGATTGGCGGAGTAGGGCTGACCGGGCTGCGGAACGCCGTAGGGTTGGGGTGGCGGCGGCGCTCCGCCGTAACCGTAGCCGTAGCCGGGAGGCTGGTTGGGATAGCCAGACATGTTTAAAAAGTAAGGGATTTAAGAAGAAGAAGAAGTGATGTAAGGAGAGACAAAGAGTTAATTTGATTTGAGGTTCAATATATGCATATGTGTTGGCTTTTATTTTTTATTTTTATTTTTATTTTTTGGGCAAACCATTGTGTTGACTTTTAGCTACAACGGAAAGATGCTTTCAATTAGTGCCTATTCAAAATACTTTTGTACAGCTATGCTGCACTAAGGAAATTAAATAATAGTGTATAAATTTTTTAAGGAGTTTGATTTTCTGATTTTGTAACGTACAGATAAGATATATCATTTTTAAGGGATTTGTTGTTTATCATTTTAAATGATATAAGTTATGTCATTTTAGGAGAGAAATAGACACAGAAAAACAAAAATTATGGGAGAGAGAAAGTGGGTGATTTTTTTTAATTTAAAATTCAAATTTTCTGTGTCTGTATCTCTTTTAAAATGACGTAATTTTCTATTATTTAAAATGACAAACATTTTTCTCATATATTAAATAACACATAAGCATTTATTTTTAGGAAAAATATTTGTCCTTTTTAAATTACACAACTTATGTCATTTCACTCTCACAAAGAGATGAGATCCATACCTTTATATTTTTTTGTCCACTCTCTCTCCTCCTTTATCTATCTCTTTCTCTCACTTAACATGACACAAGTTTACATCCTTTAAAATGATACTTATTTTCCCCTTTATTTTTATAAATTTTTAAAGAGTAATACTTCTCTCATTTAACATGAAAGAAGTTTTTTTTACTCACTAACAATAAAAGTGGAGCTCACAAATTAAAGAAAAATAAAAAAGAAAAGAAATTACAAACACATCTTTCTATATATATGTGAAATGAGATAATTATCTCCTGCATAAAACAATTTCCCATTTTTAAAACATAAGAAGTTGTGGATGGTTATATTTATAAATTTTTTGTTTACAAAGTCTTACAAACTACATTATGTACTCCTGAGAGAACACTAGGTTACAATATGTTCTCCTGAGAGAACATAGTGTAATTTGTAAAAATTTATAAATGGATCTTTCGCCAAAGAAGTTTGTATGTCACGTTGATTACTTTCCATCATTTTAATGCGTCATATTTTTTCCTCTTAACAGTTAGAAACAAAATTTCATAATATTTAGTTTTGCTTAATTTACGTGATCAGTTGATGCAATTCTTTATTTATATGTTTATTATCTAATAATACATTTTAAGAGATAAAAAATTGTAAATATAAATCGTATTAAGTGTTAAACATTTTCAAACAATTTATTTTTAAATGTTAAATTAAGTACACTATTATTAGAGTGATTTAATGGGAGAAAAATTAAAAAATTGTAATTTAAATAAATAATATGAATTTAAAGCTATTTGTAAAGAACCTAATGTAAGGGGCAAATGGCACTAAGGGGGTGTTTGGTGTAGATAACCAGGCAACTTCTAATGATATTTTAACTTAACCATGTTTGTAGCAGTTTCAAAAGAATTTAACCATGCAAATGCTTTACCCTGTCATTGTGATTTGTTTGCAAAATATGATGAAAATCACTTCATTTGCTGAGAAAAGAAAAAATGGAGCACAAATTTGGAGACGGAAATGCCCCTGCTACATAAATTTGGAGACACAAAGTGGAGTATGTTTCATACTTCCAGGTCAGGGATCATGTGTTTGACTATGATCACAAAAACCGTTTCAGGTGGCAACATAATCTCATTTTAAGAAGATCAGACATCGTCTCTTGAAGCTTCTCACTTCTATTTCCTCTAACCTTCACCTTCATATATTTTTCCATTCTGCTCAGTGCACCTAGCCATAGCTTGCAGAAGGTTTTCACTTGTGTTAAATCTAGGAGTAATGTTTTCAAAAATTATAAAAGAGTTATTTTCATCTTTTCAATCTATTTTTTCATCAATATTTTACATTCAACCAAACATAAAAGCAAAAAATTTAACCCAATTTTTTCGGTAATATTTTGGCATACCAAACAATTTTTTCTAACTTTTCTATCAAATTCATTTTCTCACAATATTTCTAATAATTGTATTTCTCTAGTTAAATAAAAAAATTTCTCTACCAAACACCCCATAACTTTATATTACAGAGACAATAACCTTTAATGTCACGTGACAAATTTACCTGAGTTGCGCTCAAATTGTTGCGCAACTAATTGTGGCTAAAATGATGCGACAACTGATTATATTAATTTCGTATAAACTTTACATATTGCTTTAAATTCATATATTTATATTTAAATTACAAGTTTTAATTTTTTTCCCGTTATTTAATTTCTTAAATCTAATTTTTACCTTTATTTTATTTATTTACCTCATCATCAATTTTTTCTTGATTAGGCATTAATCACAATTTTTTTCTTGAAAGCTCGAGGCATCAAGCAAAATCCAGGAACTCCATTGTTCAATGAAGATACTATTGTTTTATATCTAATTTATAAAAAATTTCACTTATGCGTAAACTATCAAGAAATATGAAACAAGAAGAAACTTCTCGTCTTGTATTGCAAGATGCTTTGAGGCTTTGAGCTTCATCTTTAACACCATGCTCATAAGTCATATCACTAGTATTCTGAAAACGGGCTCAAGCTTGTGGGACAGTTCTTTAGGCCCATAATCAAGTCGCGAAAATTTTGACCCTATATTTAGTGGGGCTGTTTTAACCCTAACCCACAAACTTCTTCTATGTTTTTGGCCCCATATCACGGTTTTAATTCCTTCTGATTAGTTTCTTTTGAACTCTCTGTTGGATGGTGGTTTTAGTTTCTCTTAAGCCCGTTAAGGGCCATTACAAAAGCGACAATATAACTATTAGATTTGGCTTTATGGAAAAGTTAATTTCATAACTCATTTGCACTTGGATAAGTTTTAAAAAATGAATACTGAAAATGATATAATATTTTAAAAAAATTTATCCATGTTATTTTTTTTTTCAAACTTGAAAGAAAAATCCTAAATCCTAAATTTCATCGGAATTATTTACTCCTCTCTGAAATTATAGATCATTTATCCCTTAACTTAAAATTTATTTATCACTTACCCCATTAAGTTAGAGGAGTAAGTAATAAAAAAAATTTAAGTTAAAGGGATAAGTAATAAAAAAAATTTAAAGGAATAAACGGTTCAAAATTTTGGGAGGGGCGAGTGACTATAGAAAAAACTTACAAAGATTTTGAATTTTTTTTTCTTCCTTTTTTTACATAAAACTTATTTAATTTTTGCAAAATATTGGAGATCTGATTTCTTGACCGCCACCATTTAAATTTTTTTTTCAGGTGGTTTAACGCTGCTGCATTATAGCTCACATGATTAAAGTATGGTTGTGCTTGTGATTTTAGGTTATTTATAATCGGGACATTGACCAGAGTCGTGGGTTCGGATTTGTAGTCATGTGTACAGTTGAAGAAGCTGAGGGGGCTACGGAGAAGCTCAATCGCTATGTAAGTTGATATGATTAGTTTGGTATAATGACGTTAAGGTGGTGTTTGGTCGGGAGTTTTTCAGCGGATATTTATGTTTCTCAAGTATGGCTTTTAGAAACACCATGTTTGTTTCAACGTATTTTCACCAAAAACCCATCTATCCAATTTGTCTGGATTTATGAGAAATATAGATATCCGCACTGTTTAGAAACCCAATTTGAAGGTGGGATTTTTCGGAAAACCGGTTATCTGGCTTTTAATGCACTGTTGATTTCATAAAGTTACCTAATTTTCCCAGTAAATTTTTTCCCACCAAACAACTTTTTTTTACATTTTTCTATCTATCTCACTTTATCTATCTTTCCAATCATTTCTCTATCTATTACATTTTCCTACTATTCCAAAAAAATTTCGTCAACCAAACCCCTAAGAGTTATTTTGGAATTGAAATTGGGAGTTGAAAAATCAGGGTTTCGAATTTTCATATAGAAAACTATGCAAGATTGAGTTCCATGTGCTTGAAGCTTGTTCTATACGAGAGCCATTTAAACAATGAGGACAGGAACTTGCGAATCCTTGTTTTGTGTTTAATTCTGTTAGATTGTGTGACTATATTGAGAAAGGCTGAAAGTATGATGAAATGTTGCACTAAAAAACGTCCCTCAAAACGACAAAAGTAGCTTTTCCTATTCTGACATTTGTTTGGTAGAAACTAGTGTGTTTGTAGCTATGTAGCACCCCGATACCAATACGAGACACGGAACATGATACGACACGACACTCCGACACGTTAATTCTAAAAAATGTTAGATTCCGACATATTAAGACACAATTTGTTATTGAATAATATTTTTAATTTATGTTGCGTATATTATATTTAATATTCAATAACTTAACAAAAAAATAAAGCTAAACTTATAATATCTATTAATTTTACAAAAAATCATAAGATATCACAAATATTTATATTAAATTCAATAAAATGATAATAGTAATCCAACAAATCTAATAGTTAAAACTAAATGCGCAACACAACGCAACCTTTGAATCCTTTTTTGAGTTTCTACAACGCGCGTTGAAGTGTCAGGGAATGTCGAAGTGTCGGAAAGTGTCGGACACGACACATCGAGATTTTTGAAGTGTCGATGCTTCATAGGTTTGTAGGCTGAAACGAAAACGTAGGCAAAGAAAATACCAATTTTTTTTTTTGGTAGGTCATTGTAACAACTAATTTGATGAATCAAAGTGATGATGTGGATACAAGGTACACTTGATGATTCCACGTCAACATAGTTTTGATGACAACAAAGAGGAATGTTCAAAGACGAAGCAATATCCAAAAGAAACTCAAGCAAATGTGAAAGCATGCACCAAGTCTCAAGCATCAATCCATGTCCAAAATCTCAAATGGTATATTTATTTAAGACTTAGGAAAAATGTGTAAAGATGTATAGATACAAAGCATTGCATGAGCTCGAGGTCATTCATCACTCATATATTTCAAAAAGCATGCATCCTTGAAAGAAAAGTCAAGACAAATGGTTTCATATGTACAATATTGGTTTGGAAGAAGTACCTACGTGATACAAACTTTTCTAGATAATTTCCATAACCAATAACATGCATTACAAGTCATAAAA